AGGCTTAAGTATACAAATTTTGAAAACACTGTTAGAAGTTTGTGCATCATTGAAAAAGGAAAAAAGTTTGGGATTCCTTCAAAATAAATATAATCGGTACTAAATTGTCTGCTATTCTGAATGCTGCCATTTCTCTCCCCCAAAGTGTTCTGTAGATGTAGCAGAAGAAAGAAGAGATTATGAGGGGCTGTTAGTGATTCCCAGGTGACACTCATCCCAGACTTGGGATGGAGGAGGGTCTGTGGCAGGAAATGCTCCCAGGAAGGGCCCTGGGCAGGAGCCAGGAGCCAGGAGCCACTCTCTGGGCTCTTCTCCCCACACCATGGGGATGGACTGGCCTCATCCCCCGCTTTAAAGCCCTGTGCTGCTCACCAAAGAGGCTTCCCAGGGGCCTCTCCACAGGCCTGCCGAGGTTTGTTCCCCAACCCTACACAGTCTCCAAGGTCAGCCCCAGAGAGAAAGGTGGGGCCCTCGCAGTGACCGCAGGGAGAGGATGTGCCCTGGAAGGGTAACTCCGTGCCTGTCTACTCCCCCTGGCACTGCATGACAACCAGGCATTTCTAAGGGACAATGACATGTGGCCCATGGCCAAGTCCCCCACATCTTCACCACGGTCTCCAGGAAACCAGCCTGATGGCTAGAACACTGTCCACAAACAAAGGAAGCTGGTTTGTGTTCTTTCCCCCTACTGGGTATCTTACAATCCAGACAGTTTAACATTTTACCTTATTTAATTCTGGGTATTATTTGGCTCATCTCTAGTTGAGGAAACCAGGCTCAAGTGGCCTAGTGAACCTCTGGGTCATACAGCCAGCAAACAGCAAGACCTCGGACTGAGTCCCGGGTCCTCTGTCCCCCAGCCACCACTTCCTCCCCTGAGCGCCTGCTCCCAGGGTCTTCTATCATATGCATGTCCCACCACTGCTCTATCAAGGACCCCTCCTCAGGGTGCTCGGGGGAACAGCGTCACCATCCCAGAAGCAGACAGATCCAGCTCCCAGGGAGGACACAGCGAAGTTTACAGACATCCGATTCCATTATAATTTATAGAAATTACTGAGGACGTAAACACTGAAATCCTGTTTGGGGGAGTCAGTTCCATTTGCTATGGCTTTTAAACACAGACAAAATGCACATTTTTGCTCATAGGTGACAACCATTGTAATGGCAATAAATAAAAGTAATTAGTTCGCAGACAAAACGTAAGTGATCCATGCCAGCTCCACTCTACCGAGATGATAAATCACTTTTCTAGGCGGGTATTGTAACAAAAGCCTCCGAGGCCGGTGGTAACATCACCACCACTTGAGAAACGCATCTTGCTGCTTCCACCTGCGACACGCCCCGTCCCCGGCCACACTCTTCTTCACCCACAGCCCAAATCAGTCTCGGACCACATGAATGAGATGCCATCGCTCCTCCACTCAGACCTGCCGATGGTTTCCATGAGCATGAAGGAACGCCTGACCCACAAGCCTTAAGTCAGAGCTGGCCAGCGGGTCTTGAATTGCCCCGGGGAAGCGTTTTGAAAATCTGGTGTAATTTCTGATTTGGTGAAGACTGGGCACCGCAACTAGCTGTACAGAGGAAGGGTCCCTAGGCCTGGCGCGTCCCCTCCCACAAGGGGCAGGTGCATCTCACATGATTCAGGTTTGCCTCCTGCCGTGTACTTCCTTTGAATGACCTATTGAAAAGCGAGCTGTTGGTATCTGGGCCTCGAATCTCACTTGTTTTTACATATAAATACAGAGAGCTTTCTGCATGATTGAAAACGTCCTAAAATATCCATGAATGCAAAATGCTGCGATCTTTGCCAGAAGATTGAATTTGTTTGGATCACGAATTTATTGACAGCGAGCACCAGTCTGGAAAGTCACAACAGCATCCCGTGGGGTCTTTAAGTGGGGCAGGAGGCATGCCTGCTCTGTCCTGCCCTAACACAGCCCCAGCCCAGCACTGAAGGGGACTCTTCAGGTCCACGACTGCTAGTATGGCATACAGGTCAATTATTACAAACTTATTTCCTTTTACTTTTGTCTTATATTACAATGAGGATATTATGTTGATTTAATTTTGTGCACAGGAAGCTTACATGACCCAGGAATGTCACTGATGGAAAGGAAAGGAGAAGCAAGCAAATCCGGCCTGACTTTACAAGGCCAAGTTGCATGTGACAGGCCAACAGTGTCACCTCTGTGACACGCCCCAGATTAATGTCTGACCTGGTCTCGCCATGCCTTCCTCTGCCCTGACCATGCGGACCTTGTTGCTGTCCTCCCAAGCCAGCTAGTTGGTGCCCACCTGAGGGTCTCATTGATCCCTCTGGTTTCACTCATTCTTCACCCAAATATCTCCTCCTGTGACAGTCCTCTGTGATCGCCAGGCCTATCGGCCTACCTTTTCTCTTCAGTTAAGTTCCTCCCGCAGGTACCTCTAGGATGCTATCATAACGGTAGCTGCCCATCTGTCCTTCATCTCTGCCACAGGAACACGCACCCCCTGCAGGAAGTAGGCAATGGTGTTGTGGACCCTGATACGGAGGACATGGTGGGTGGCAGGAAGCAGGAGCCTGAGGAATATTTGTAAACTGAATGAATTCCTGCGTGAAGATACTGTCTGTGTTCCTGGTTCCTAGAAGCTACATTTCTTTCTATCCCTTCGACATAATTTATAGCCAATCTAAGTCAGCATTAATTCTCTAAATATATCCATCAAATGCCTACCATATTTCAGACACTGAGAAAACAATAATAAATAAGGCACATCTTGCCCGCATACCTGGTAATTAATGACCAGCTCTAGCACGCTGAAGCATTTGAGTCCTCCACTGAAGTGACTTTATAGAAAAAAAACACCGATTTCTATTCTGCATTCTGAGTAACGAGACAATACAGAAATTATGATCTTCATAAATCAGAAGTTATTGCTCATGTATTAAGAAGGAAGCTATTATCTCATATAAAGAAATTTTTACCAGTGTGAGAAATCTTGCCCCCAGGGCTTATGATATCCTTCTTCAAGTCCCCAGGACACCACTTTCCCCAGAAACTGGCTGGTGTGTGAATACGTGGAAACTTCTAGTTACCTTGAGTGACAGAACTAACGACCTCGACCTGCCTGGCTGAGACCCAGCTCCCAGCTAAGACACGGAGGGAGCATCTCCTCTCTGAAGGACTCCACCAGCTGGAAAGATCAGTCCACCCTCTCTCCTGGGGCAGGATAGGGCAGTATCAGCCCCAGCTGATGGCCCACAGCCTCCCTGGGTGTGATGCAGAGGGGCTGACTGCTGGGACCCTATCCTTTCCGCACTTCGAAGCCAGGTCTCCTTCCCACCCATGGAGGAGCTGGAAGGCATTGCTGACACACCCTGTGCCTCTGTGCAGAGCCGCACCACGGACTTTCTCATCATTCTCCCATCTGCAGGACACACAAAACAACCTTGTCGCTATAAGTAAGCCGCTCAAGTTCAGAGAGGTTTTCTTAACCCAAGGTCTTCGAATTCCAAGGTCTCCAGTCGAAATGACCGGCTGAAAGCAGGTTTAGGGTGGTCTGTGGGCTTCAGTCCTCACTGGCGGCGAGCCACTCCTAGGAGCTGGCCATACTGTACCCTCATCAGACTTGTCACCAAATCCGAGTTCAGTGCCCGCAGGGACACACAGCCCCTCCCTTCTTCACCCCCACCCTCCCACCCCCACAATGTCATGTGGAGCCTTTATTCCTAGGAAGCTTCTAGAATCGAGCAAACCTTGGAACAAGCCACAGTGAAATCGTACCCTTGTCCTGACCTTGAACGACCTCCCTACCTCTCACTGAGCAGCCCTGTTCCCACAGAATGACAAAGGGGAACCAGAAGGAGGTAGTACGCTGGCCATGGCTGAGGAAGGTGACCGGTTGCTTTGCCAAATTCTGTCCTCACCCCAGCCCACCCCACAAACACCGATTTTTCCTCTCAGGCCAGAGCTTAGAACAAAAAACACCTAGCATAGGCAGAGCTAACAATAAAAGAAAGACTCTGGAAGGGTCTGCCTGGAAATTTCCGGCCCACACTGGTATCCTCCAAAGGGCACATCCACGGGGCTGGTGGGAGAGAGTTAATATCTGAATTGATATTCTGCCCAAAGAACTCAGAAAGGGAAATCTTTACGGGCTCTTAACGGCAAGAATTTTAGGTCCCTTTAAAGCACCAGAGTACTTCGAGAGAAGCTCAGGTGTTTCAGTTTGGTACAAAGGTCAGGTGTCCTAAAGGCAGAAAACATCCCTCTCCCACCCAAGTGCTCCTATCTTCCCTGTCAGTTCCCACCTCTTGGCAGGGTTTTGTGGAACCCTGTGTGGATTGGCCCCCTCACCCCACACCAGCTTCCTAGAGCCTGAGGGCAAGTCTGTGTCCGCTGGATGCCCGTGCAGAGCCTCACCTGGGAGAGATGTTGACTCCCCAGCAGAGGGAGGAGAGGTGTGTGTCTTAGGTTTCCTGGGTTCACCTGGGGTGGAGGTCACTTCCTGGCATGGGCAGCTCCCTCTAGCTAATAGGCTGGAGGCCACGATATGCAAGGGAGAGTGAGAGCCAGCCCAGCCCAGAATAGAAACCCAAGCTCCCGATCTTGCTGAATGTGGCCATTCGATGAGGCAAGGAGGGGGAGCAGGAGTGAATGCAGAATGAGAGAGGGGTGAGATGTCTTGACGGAAACGGAGAATTATGGAAATAACACCCCCACCACCACTGTCCAAGCTTGCCCTGCAAACAGGAAAAGCTACCAACTTTTTGCAAGAGCATGAGACCTTTGGTTTCCTGGGACGAGTTTATCTGCACTCATCATTCCTGTACTGCTGGGCAGCTTATCCCACTGAGACAAAGAGCAATGAGTACCTCTCACCTTGTAGATGAGAAATGGAGTGATGAGCTTTCGCACAAAAAGCCGCAGAAATGACAAAGATGGTGAATAAATTGTCCTCTGCATGACCCCATCCATCTCCTGACCAACCCCGGTCAAGGCGGTCCTTACCTTAGAGGACAGCTGAACATTTCCTCATGGGCATGTGGGTCCGTCTGCCTTTTTGTGTTCTCAGAGGAGAATGAGGGAACCACTGTGGTCCCAGAACCCGTGGTCTGGCACCTCGGTCCCTGTGTGCCAGTGATCCTTCTAGGAAGCACTGGAATCAAAGGCTGTGTCAGTCCGGCCGCTGACATCTGAGCCTCCTAGACAATGAAAGTCCATAAAGGAGGAACAGAGAAAGAATGAAGGGGGAGGGAAGGTTAAAGGAGAGGAGGTCCAGGATTTCTGGGGAAAAGGGTTTCCTTTCTCTTCCCCAGAACCTCCAGGGACGGATAAATACAATTATCAACCTAGCATGACAGCACACAAAATAAAAGAGGCACCTGCCAGGTGACCATCTCTGCCGGGACTCGAACCCGGAACCTCTGGATTAGAAGTCCAGCGCGCTCGTCCATTGCGCCACAGAGACCTCACCACACACACAGCATCAGCACCAGAACTGAAAAAGCACATACCTTCTGCATCACCAGCCATCTCGGCATCCTGCTCCGAGCGGTGGGGGGGCAGGGACGGCTGGAAAATCTGGAGTGGAGATCCACCCGCCGGCTCCGTCAAAGCTTTTCTCAACACTGTGGGTTCTGGGTCCTCGGGGATCGGAGGAGTGGGGCGGTAGTCATTTTCAGTCCCAGGAGCTCTGATGGGGTAGGATGGAGCTAGAGCCTCTGCTCCTTCCTCTCCATCCCTGAGGGAGGATGCAGGAAAGTCTCTCTATTCTCATGCTAATCAAGCAGAGCCTACCCAGCCCAGGGAGAGACGGAGCTGCTCTACCTCCCCACCCCTCTCCCTCGCTGTGGTTTCATCCCAATCCTGATACACTCAGATAGGGGCTGGGCAAAGCTGGGGGATTCAGGAAAGCCGTCCTTCCCTGAGACAAAGGAGCTGCTCCCGTAAAGAAGCCATGTGAACGGCAGTGGCGGCACAGCCCGGCACGGAAGCCGGGCTCCCGGAGGCAGGTCCGGCTCTCAGCTCTAAGAGCTGCATCTGTCAAGCCCAGGAAGAGAGACCCAGAGTCCGATGTGATGTGCCTTCAGCATCTTCACTGGAATTACGGATGGGGAGGAGACAGAAGAGTGGTGAGTGTTTGTGGTGTGTGAGTATGTGTGTGTGTGTGTGTGTGTGTGTGAGTGAGAGAGAGAGAGAGAGCGCGTGCGAGAGAACACACAGGGAGGAGGGAAGAGCGGCACTCCCTAATGAAATACAGGTGGTCCACACACAGCCCTCCGGGAACACCTACCTGCTCCCCTTCCCCCACTGTCCCTAGTTCCAAGGCTGCCATCCTTTCTTCCCGGGACTGCCTAATCTAAAAAGCAGGGTTTCTCAGCTGCTGGGTTTCACAGAGGCATCCCAGGAGAATCAAATGGGCCAGCCCTCCGTAACCATATATAAAGACCTCCACACCCAGCCCAGGTCCAAGAAGACAGCTCCTCTTTTTAAAAGCCTCCTTGAGAAGATGCAATCCCTAATCCCTGCTGGTTGCGGTGCTGTCCTGCTTGTCCTGCTTCTCCCTAATCCCAGTCCTTCCTGCCCCACCTTCAGCCCTCTCTCTCCTGTTTGATTGCCAGACACACCAGGGGACAACTGTCCTTTATGCTCCCAATGACAGTGCATTGATTTAAAGACAGATTCAGTGTTCCTCAGCTCACTCCCACTCAACAAGGTTACAATAAAAGCAGAGAACTGACTTGGGCTCCCCCCACTCCCCTCCCAGTAAAAGCTTCCCTGGCCCACCACCCGGGACACTGCCAGCTGACCCCAATCTCAATTCAAGACCGACCCTTCTAACCTGTGAGGCCGGCTGATGGCCAAGGGAAGAAGAACGTGGCAACACAACATGCTTAGACTGGAAGGTCTTGAAGGCCCTTAGAACTCTGAGACTCACGCTTCTCTGCCCATTCTGAATGAGATCTGGGCAAGAACAGGACCAAGATGCTTCAATCAGGCCAGGGGTCAAGGAGATGACCAACACCCAAGGGAAAGCAGCCACCAAAACCAAGCATGTCTTCCCCCTGGGACCCAGGGCCAGGAGCTCAGAATAGGGAAACTGATGTTGTATCTATACTAAACATCGAGCAAAAGAGCCCAGATCAGGCATTCTTAATCCCCAGACCACTCCAAGAGCCTGATGCACAGAGACTTACACTGACCAGATATTGCATTACTAGGGGGCGACTAGGAACAAGATGTCAGTCGAGGGACCAGTCAGGAGGTCCATGTGCCTATAAACCCCACATACCAGCCAGGATCCACATGGATGCCAAACGGGTTCTCAAGACATGTCCCACCAGGCTCAGTCAAAGTGCCCTTACATGTAGACACACACCCCCTGCTCTTCATAAAGATGTTGTCCTACATGCAAGACATCCATCTGTCCGGAGCTTTGCCCAAAACTCTGTTGTGTCTGAGGAGCTCACATGCCCCCCACACCCTGAATGAAGAGGCCAGGTCCCCAGTGCGTTCCAAGAGCTTCACTCATGGCTTGCAATGTTCCATCTTGGCGCTGGGGATAGAAAGATAAGGACACAGTCCCAACCTCCAGGACACTGTGAGCAGATCCCAATGTAGGAACTACTCTGAAAGACGTATGGGAGAGAAGAAAACCAATCTTACTGCCCACCAAATAAGGTATCAAGTTTCCAAGTGCCCACAAAGACCCCAACTCTCAAAGCAGAAAGATCCAGCCGAAATAGCCAGATGTAGCCCACTGGCTTCAAACCCTGTGAAAATTACCTTCTCAGCCCACCACTTCCCCATTACAAAGTAGGACCAATACTCAACACTATGGGCACAGACGAGCCAAGCCTTCATGGTGCAGGTGTCATCATCCTCTTCCTGCCTCTGCCCCACGAGTTAAAAGTGTTGGCTCTGCTGCCTGAGTCACCTCCTTCCTGAATAACCTTCCTTTCTCTTTCCCTCACCCCCACAGCAATCTTCCCATTCTAGCAAAAAACCCCTTTCAGGACCCCTTAGACTCATCATCTATATCAACAAAAATTCTCCAGACTGCCCGAGGGCAGAGATGTCTCTGATGCACCCCGTTTCACTTCATCATCCGTGAATCAGCGACAGCTTCTTGATAAGTGTGAATAATGTCTCTAAACTTGGTTGTTAATTTAAAAATAAAGAGGGAAATAATCAAAGAAAGTGGCAGCTTTAATGAGGCAGGCTGGAGGGTAAGCCATTCCAAATGATTGAAGACAACACATCTTTTTCTTCTTTGAAACTAGGTGTGCCATTTAGGCTTATGCAAACCGAGTCGATTCCCCTTCCAAAAATTTTTTGTGCTGATTTAATTCTCTGAAGATCTGTGACTCAAACATTACTCATGCTCTCACTGAATACCACTCTTTGACCCCACAGACAAACTGGTGATGCTCATACATTATTTCATTCATAAAGTGTTGCTGGGATACATATGATAAATGCCAAAAAAACGTCTCCCATTGGCCCAGGAACAAATACAGTTAAATCTTAACACGCTACTGTGGTCTTACTCACAGCTTCCCTGGGGGCCTATCCCGACCAGCCCAAATTTTAAATGCTCAAGAATTTAGATGGAGTAACACCATGAGCCAGACATTTGGACAACACAGCCTTGGACAATCCGTGATAGTATCATCTTCCAGGGCCCGCCGTGACCCAAACCTGATTCATTCACCTCCACTGTGGGCATTTAGAAGGGGCTTAGACAGGCCATCTTCTGTGTCCCCAACCACCATCAGTTTCATCCCTTTCTCTGCTCCTCCCTCCCACTCCCCCGCTGAGCGCCTCTCGGCGGAGCTGAGAAAGAGCTCGGTGAAGTCAGGCCCACTCTGCACAGCTCACAGATGTGCAGCTCATAACTCCCTGTCCCTCAGAGAAGGGCAGCATGGACATCCCTCCAAAACAAAGGTCCCTCCATTCTTTTCCAGACTTTTCGTCCTCATGGGGTCTTGCCCGGTGCTCACGGTCTCTTTTTCTCGTGCATTTTTTCTAAGCCATCATAACAAAGCATTTATGTTCCTAAAGCATTTTGTTTCCTTCCTTCCTCATCTGAAGAACCTGGCTGAAGATTTTTTATTCCCTCCTGGTCCCTTTTCCTATCCTCAAAGAGGGAAGAAGTGAGATGATCCAGGTAATTAGTGGGTCTAGAGTCAAGCCAAAGGAGGTCAGAGGAGGGCAAATTCTACCTGAATCATCACATCCTACGTCCCAGGTCTAGCCCAGCACAATGGGTTACTCACAAGTCTCCCCAAAGATAGACGTGGACCAAATCTGTCCTGACAATGGACTGCACCTCCAGGCACTAGCCAAGGTCACAACAGTCTACGCAGAGGTCCACCCCCAAAGGAGTCTGAGGACGGCATCTTCCCGTTTGCCTGCCTGTTCCTCCCCTCTCAGCCTCCTCCAGGAAACTGTCCAGAGAATTCTAGAGCCTATGCTCCAAGGATGCAAATTCTCTTTGGTCGACAAGCATGAGGAAACCAGCAGCATGTAATGAAAGGAGAGGTAGTGGGCTAGCACGTCCCACCAGATCTTTCTGGGAATTTGGAAGGAGATGTTCTCTCTGCTTCCCTCCAATTTCCCAGTGAGTGAGTTAATTCCTGGTGCTACCCCTCCAGCTCAACCCCCACTTTTCCTCTCTAGAATCCAGGCTCTCTCTCTCTATGCCTGTAATCCTGACCCCAGGCCACCATCCTCGTGTGTGTTCAGTACTAGGTCTTCAGTCTGTCTTCTTCTTGTGCCTTGTCACCCCCTCTATCTGTCCTTCTCCTGCAGAGCAGACGCATCACCTGTGGTCACATCCTGACTTGGATGCCCCTCCCTCTCATCTTACCTCTCCATGCTCCTGTCCATCTCCCCTCTCCTCAATTTCCACATGTCGTTGGCATTCCCTAATCCTTCCCCACGAGGTCTATCCTCTGACATGCCCAACTTCTTGGCCACTCCCATCCATTCTCATCTAGGGTCCATCTATTCCAAATACTACCATCCACATGCGGCGTTCCTCGTCTCAGGCACACTTAGGCCACTGCTCCTGTCTTGGCCCCCAGTGCCTCTGGCGGTAAGGCTGTCTGATCTCCCAGACCTCCCAGCGCCTTCGCCCTGGCCAGTGATCTCTGGGTCTGCCACTTGCTCCAAAGTGTCGGCATGTCCGTTCCTTCACCATGAGGCCCATCTTCCTTTCCTCTAGATTCCATTCTCCAGATCTCTTTACATCCCCCCCACCCCGCCTTTCAGTCCAGATCGCTCCTACTTCCCAAATCTTCCGTCCGTAGGACCCGTTCTTCTGAACCTCCTTCCACCCCATCCGCAGGCCACATTCCTGTCCAGAATGGCCTTTGCCTTGTCCATCTCCAGACGTCCGTGAGCTGTCTGCTCTGATGGGCACCTGTGTCTGCTCTCCTTCCGTGCTGGGGTTCTGTGCCCTTTTAAAGCTGGGGGCCTGATTGGGCCCTGCTGATCCCCCAGCTCTGAGTGACCGTGGGGATGGCCTGGCAACGAGGCTCCCCAGTCTTCACAGACACCACAGGGGTCCTGGTCCATAAAAGGGCAGAGGCTCTATCTAGGCCAGATACTACAGGCCAGAGGCCAAAGAGTTAGAAGACAGACCCTTCGAGCATCAGTGACTCTGGTCACAGGCCCAGGGGCTCGAGAACCTCGGCTGTGCCTAATATTGGGAGTAAAAGGGATTTCTTTGTCCTTTAGCTACCTCAGCTCCACTTCCCATTGAGCTTGGAAGAAGCCTAGAGGTGAACATCATACGCAGACTCTGTAACAGCCAGAGAAGAACGGCGTCCATCTTCTACAAGGCCTCAGTTTCCACAAAGTGTGACCAGGAGCATCTCCCTCCCAGGCACTAAGGCTGCCCTCACACAGGAGGCCTCCGTCTGACGAGTCAGAGGAAGGCCTGCACCACTGTCCTTATCCAAGAACATCCAAGAGCCGGTCCTAGCCTCTGTGGGACTGGCCTTCCCAAGGCTCTCCCAGCAAGCACGTGGTTTGCACACTGGACACGGGCTCAAGAGGACGGGGTTTTACTTTGAGTAACCAGCTAATCTGCAGGCTCAGATTCCCTTCCTCTCAAAGGAAGGAGAGCTGCATTTCCATGGTCCTCCCTCATCCATCAAAGAGTCTAAGAAACAGTATTAACAAGAGGCATCGTGATGATAAAAGTCTTTTTAATTCTTCATCTCATCTTATCATCAGAACTCTCCTAGATTGTGGAAAGAGTAATGATCATCATCCTCGTTTTATAAAAGGAAAGCCTCGACCAAGGACAGTCTGGGGCTTGCCAAAGTCCTCAGCCGGGAAGCAGTGGGCTGAGCAGAGCCTCTGGTGCTGCTCAGACCTCTGCCCTCCGACTTCTCCCACCACGGGCAGGTGTCCCCAGATGACGTGCTCTGAGAGCCAGGCATCCTGTGACACTGGTCTGAGACCCTCCCCACAAGTCTCTCCCCTGCCCTTGTAATCGAGGGGTGGTGGCCCAAGGGAAGGATGGGAGGACATGTGATGGCCACGGGTGGAGGGTAGGTCTGCAGGCCAAGCAGATACAGGCTAAGCAGACAGGGTGGTGCCTGGTGAGGGTGAGTAAGCCCCCTGCCCCGTGGTCTCCCCTCAGTGACTCCTTGTCCCTTCAGTCACCAGAGGTCAAGCAGAGGAACCCACGTCCAGATAAACAAACTGCCTTCCTCCAGGTCAGCCGGTCACTCACAGAGCTGCGCCCAGTCCTGGGCTTTCTGGTGGCTCCTTGAGGGCTCTTGGTACACCGCTACGGGGTCAGCCCGGTGGAGTATCCATGCAGAATGGAGTGTGGGGAAGGGATGGTATGCTCAGTGTTCGGTCATCACTGAAAATGAGAAAATCGAAAGGATCAAGTGGCCTCGTCTTGGAATCACTGAATGCCCTGAAAGGAAAGAGATTTTAAAATAATTTAAGTTTCATGTTTAACATTATGCATGAGTTGAATTTTTACCATATGATCTTATTACTTTTATAAATTAAGAAAAAACTAGTCTGAAGATTCAATTGATAATGCTAAGTGGGTGAATGTTTGCTCTTTATTTTGTATATTTCTGTAGTCTATAATTTTTGTCAACCCTCTCATCTGTAATTACATAGATTAGTAAACTCATGCCCATAGAAATTAAATTACTTACCCAATATTACAAAAATAGACTAGCTGCTGTGGTCTGACCAGAAAAATACAGACTTTAAAGTCAGGATGGACCGAGGTTTGAATCCCAGCTCTGTCACTTACTGCGAGACAGTGAGCGCCTCAAGGAAACTTTCTGGGGCTCAGCTTGCCTATTTCTTTCAGAACTCACAGAAGCGAGAACACCTGCCTTGTGGGGCCATCACAAGGCGAAAATGAGACAAAGAGGAGAAAACCCCAGGCAGCCCCGTGCCTGGGTCTCTGTTTGTACAGAGGAGGTTCTTGCTCAGGTCGCTAATGGCGTCCTCACCATCAGATTCACAAGGATCCCATCAACTTTCTGCAACATTTCACACCAAACCCACTTCGCTCTCTAGAACATTCACTCCCCTGCTGTCCGTGCGCATGGGCCTCTCCTATCTCTCGTCCCCTCCTTCTCTGGCCCCTTCCCAGCATCCCAAAGAGCAGTGGTTATCAGACCCCCAGTCAGAATGTCAGCAGCATTTCACATCATTAAATAGAAGAGAAGAGAAATGGTAGCCGAGGCTAGGACAGGAGGAGGCAGAGCACAGTAGAACAGAAAACGGCATCATCTTCTAACAAGACCCTGTATTATTTCCTGAAACGTTGTTCTAGTTAAACGTACAGGTCTTTGTGTAGACATGTGTGTTCTCGGTTGTAAGAAAAAATAAATTGATTTCCTCTTTGGGTTGTGGTCAAACACACTGCCCTCAAGTGTGCATGGCTTCTCTTATCTTCTATTTTCTCTCTAAATCATCTGAAAAGACACCTTAGCACAGATTACCCACTAGGAGCTGAGCGCGCCGCTCTCCACACCTGACAGCTGGCCTGGTTTACTCAGCAACCTTGAAATAACCACCCCTCGGTGACTCAGGGCCATTTCAGCAGTAAAATGTACAAATCCGAACTTACATTTCCCCGTAAATCTTCTGCTCTCCACGATCTACTGATTCATTTAATGGCAGCCCCATCCACCCCTAGTCTATTAGTTTATTTATTCTGCCAATCCATGAACATGTTCTACATGTCGAGAGATGCGCTGGGCACTGGGAACACAGAGATTCTGAGGAAGCCACATCTGCCCTCACCAAAGTCAGAGTCAGAGACAACAACCAAGCAGAATCACATGGGAGATACACGCAGGGTGTATGGTAATAGGGACTGTGGGCAGACTAACCCCGATGAGGGTCTGGGAAGGTTTGCTGGAGCCACAGACATAAGCTGTAGAAAGCAGGGAGAGGTATTCCCTGGAGCAAAAGAAGGGGTTGGGTCAGGGAGTGTATGCATGCACAGGCGTGCGTGTGTGCACGCGTGTTGGGGAAACTAGGGGAGAACAGAGCTCTAAGAGAGGACAGCAGGATAGAGATAGGCCCCAAACCCTCTATCTGTGTGAGAAACTACGAGAAATGGGGGGTCGCTGAAGCCCAGAGTCCTGGCAGAGCGTGATAGCCCATGGCTGGAAGAACAGATCAGGGAGACCTTCCTGTGCCATGTTCGATGTTAATCCCGCAGGAGCTGCAGGGGCGTGGAAGGGTTTAAAGTCAGGGAGAACTGCGGTCTGAGGTGTATTTCAGACAGATGGCTCCGGCTGCCGTGGGCTAGACCATTCCCAGAGGGCACGTGGAGTGGAGACTTCGGGGCCTCGCCAAGCAAGGTAAGACCTAACAGAGGTCCGCACCCCAGGCATAGAACCGGCTACACACAGTGGATTGAAAGGACAAGACTGATTTGACAGAAAAGAGCACGAGGGAGACAGGACCGGCCGTCAGGTCACCCACGCGTGAAGCCTGGAGTCTGCGGCGACACCTTCCCTCAGTGGGTCCCCCCGTCTCAGCAGCCCTGGAGCCGTGGGAGTTCTGCCTCTCTGGGGCCCTCAGATCCAGCTGCCCCCAGCTCATGGGCAGGGCTCCTGGAATATTTTCATAACCCCTCGCTTGTCTATCTGCACCTGGCTCTTTCCCTTTCCACCCTCTGCCACACAGCCGATGGAGCCATGGTGATTTTTCTGGAAGGAAAACCCGTAGCCTGGAGAAGAGCCCAATGGCGATCTAGAGTCTGACTCCCACCCCTCTTTTCAGGTTCCTTTATGATCATTCCCCACTCACGCCTGGCCTCATGTTGCACGATGCCCAAATACTCATAATCCCCTAAACGCACACACACACGCACACACACACACACAAGCACTGTGCTGGCGATGCCTTGGTATGGGCCCTTTCCTCTTTCCAGAATGCCCTTCCCTTTTCCCGCTCCCACATCCACCTGGTAACTGCTCCTCCTCCTTAAAGACTCAGGTCATTCCCCTCTTTTTCTGTACGATCTCCCCCAACACCCACACCAACCCCCACAGACTGGAGCCCCCCAGCTTCACACCGCGACCGCCCCGTGCACACATGCCTCTTGGAGCACAGGGCACACGGCGCTGCCCTCACTGTATGTGCATCTGAGTCCTGTGAGACATGAAGCAGCAGGAGCCCCTTGTGCCTTGTCAGTCTGCACAGCGCCTGGCCGGTGGTAGTTACTCCGTAGACGTGTGCTGGGGGAAATATTGATAAACAATGGATAGAACAGGTCTCTGTCTCCCTAGCCTGGAGACTGTTCCAGAACAGCATGTGTGTTTATCTTTATAATGGAAATATGACACGGGAACCCTTAAAATGAGACCTGAGAAGTTAAGACTTTTTCCACTGTTCTGCCTCAAAGTGGTATCGAAACAGTCAGCTTTGTCCAGGACTCCAGTCTCTGCACCCAGTCTACCGAATGTGTGGTGTTAGCGTGGGCCCCAGAAGCCCACCCTCAACACAACTTGGAAAAAACGAATCTCCCTCCGTCTCAAAGTACTCCACCTCACGAAAAGATCCCACGGTTCAGCATTTTCCAGGTCCATCTCTCAGCCTGAGAGCGGCGTCTGCCTTTTCCCTCTCTCACCTCCTACAACCACGACCAAACAGAGCCCCTCCTTTCTGTTCCCAAATGTCACCACCCCAGCTCGGAACCTCCTGACTTCATCCCCCGCATTTCTGTAATTACCTTTTAACAGATCTCCTTAGAATAAGCTTTTAAAATTATTTTCTAATCACTCCACTCCGAAGCACGGGATCACTGTAAAAATATTAAGTATAGCATATAAACAATTAGAGTTCCCCTCCCTTGTGACTTACCTCTCACTCCCACCTCAGAACTCCTAATTTTCCAGGATCAGAATCATAGGAGCACTCCTCAAGTGCCTATGTGCCATGTACCATTCAAAGAACTTTAAAGAGATTAATTTATGTCCTCATACTCTACAACCCTAGGGGATATGTATGATTATCACTATCTCTATTCTCCACACAGGGAGAATAAACACTGAGAGGTTAAGCACCTTGTCCAAAGTCACACAGCCGTAAGTAGCAGTTCAACTTAAACACACGTTTATGTGGAGACGAAACATAACCAAGGCACATCTATTGTTCGAGGCTTCTTTCTTATTTTTCACAAAAAGGATAATAGCATGTGTACCTTCTTTGTATTTTCATTTAACAATACATCTTGGTTATCTTTCCAACTTGGTATATATAAATTTACCTCATTCTTTTTAACTGTTATGCGTTATTACAAAGTATGGATATAGTATAATTTATTTAACCAATTCTCTATTGATGGATATTTTGGCTCTTTGCCATTTTTTCACTGCTGGAAACAATGACATGATTCACATCTATGCACATAAATTACGGCACTCATGTGTGACTAGTCGTATAGCACAGATTTGTGGAAACAGCACCACTGGTGTTTCAATTTTTAATTTTGATACATTCTGCCAAAATATGTCTAAGACGGCTGCCCCAATTTACATTTTCACTAACAATAAATGAAGGTGCCTATTTCCCCCAAACACTTGCCAACACTAGATGTGATCCATCATTTTAATTTTTAACAATCTGATGGGTCTTTGATACTTTTTAAAAAAATTATTGATTTTGAAAGAGAGAGAGAGAGAGACCACACAAGCAGGAGGGGCAGAAGGAGGAGAGAGACTCTCAACCAGACTCTGTGCTCAGCGTGGAGCCAGGCATGGGGCTCGATCTCAGGACCCTGACATCATGACCTGAGCTGAAACAAAGAACCGATGCTTAACTGACAGTGATACCCAGGTGCCCCTAGGTCTTTGATACCTTTAACAATCTCAGATCTCTTTGTTACTTTGACTCCTATTTCTCTGAATTCAAATGCCCTTGACCATGTTTTCAGATGTTTAATAGATAACTGTTTCTCCTGAGAATTCCTGCTCACATACTCTAATTTTCATCTGGACTGTTTGGCTTTTTATGTGATTTATTAGGTATTTTGCATGTTATCCATGGAATACTTAGCTATATGTATTGTATATAAATTGTCCCCTGGATATAACTTACTTTTATTTTTTTTAATCTATGGTATCTACGTTTACATCATTAAAAAAAAACAAGCAGTAAAACTTGTCAATCCTTTCTTTCATGGATTCTGGCTTTTGTGTCTGGCTTAGGAAGGTCTTTGCCACTCTGAGGTTAAATATATTTTTCTACAGTGTTTAACAATTTCTTTTGGTTTGCTTTGTTTATAAAATTTAGTCCTTCAATACAGCTGAAATTTATTTTTGCATTTGGTATGAGGGAGGTCTCAACATACGCCACGCCAGTTGGCAAATAGATCATCTATCATTCTGATACCATACGTTAGACAGTCTAACCCTTAGTCAGTGACTAGAAATAGTGTATGATATAATGCACGATTCCTCACACACTAAATCTCCATATCGGTTTGTGGCCACGACCTCTTTCGTGCTCCCTTGAATCAGTTATGTGTTCCTGGACAATACTTTAGTGTTCTCATTGCCGTAATTTTAAAGTAACTTAGGAAAGCTGGAACACCATATCTCTAACCTCCCCGACTGCATGTGTTAAAATATATATATGTGATCTATGGTTATTCTTGACTTTCTCTTATAGGGGAATGTTAGGGTCAACTGATCAAATCCCATACAAATAAAATATTAGAGGCTAGAGGTACAGTCGGTGAGGCATTGGACTCTTGACCCTCTCAAATAAATAAATGAATGAATAAAATCTTCAAAAACAAAAATAAAATAAAATATTGGGATTTAGCATGGGATTGACACTGAATTTACAGATTGAGAGGGAAAGAGAAGTAACACCTTGGTGAATCTGACCGCTAACCTTTAAGCACCAATTCAATCACATAATATTCTGCCACGAAATTTTTCTCACTGACCCTGGGATAAAGATAAGACTCTGCAGGGGCACCTACGTGGCTCAGTCAGTCAAGCATGTGACTCTTGATTTCGGCTCAAGTCATGATCTCAGGGTTGTGAGACCGAGCCCTGAATCAGGTTCTGTGCTGGGTGTGAAACCTGCTTAAGATTCTCTCTCCTTCTCTCTTTGTCCCTCTGCCTCTCCCTACACTCTCTCAAAATAAATAAATAAATCAATAAAATAACTAAAAACCTTTTCAGTGTCTAGTATTCAAGTCTTACCCTCTCAAATTTAGTTTAAAGCCACTTCACCAAGTGAATTTCCCTTTATTCTTATCCTCAAAGTTTTTCAAACAGAATAGTGTATTTACTGTATCCCAAATAACCATTTGTCTTTCTTCCTAGACAACCACGCCAATAGGAGAGGCGGCAGCAGAGATCTGAATATAAGGGCAAAAAAAGAGGATTTCTATGACTAAATAACCTATGGGGGGGGGTGCCTGGGGGTCTCAGTGGGTTGAGCCTCTGCCTTCGGCTCAGGTCATGATCCCAGGGTCCTGGGATTGAGCCCCGCATCGGGCTCTCTGCTCAGCGGGGAGCCTGCTTCCCCTCTCTCTCTCTGCCTGCCTCTCTGCCTGCTTGTGATCTCTCTTTCTGTCAAATAAATAAATAAAATCTTAAAAAAATAATAGTCCATGGCAATATACTGTTGTCTCAGCACTTACGGGTCAGGGAACTTTGTGTCGAACAAGCAACAAACAGATCATGGGATTTGAAACCCAAAGCGACCTTACTGGCGCCCAAACTCTCACCGTCTCTCCGGTGGCATCTCTCATGGATGAGATGCATATTAGAAGGGATGAGGAATGTTTAGAAGAACTGATCTCATACTACCTGACCAGACAAGACCGAAATTAAACTCAACTCTGGTTTATGTGTGTGTTGGAGAGACAGAAGAGTCTTGAGCCAGTTTGGCAAAGAAGCTGCGAGAGGCTGCATTACAGCAGAGCGGCCACACCGAGGGAGCAGAGGACCGGGAATGGGGTGGGGTCAGGGTGGCCACACGAGGGTAGCAGAGAGCAGGCCTAACGGCTGTGCTCAAGGTAGGCGGAATCAAGGAGTTGGAACAGAATCTCTAGATCCAGGTAGCACTTTCTACTCAGACAAGAATCTGTGGTCCACCCAGGCAGCCGGAGACAATCCCTCCTACCTCTGCTCCAGGGCGAAGGGGCACAGAGAGAGGGACAACATGTACTGAGCTCTTAGATCAGATCAGTATTTCCCATGAATATGAATGTCTTCCCTCTTCACCAGGAGACAGCGAGGACAGTGATGGTGATGTCTCATGATTAACAAATGAAAAGACTGATCTCAAAGGACATGACTCAGTGGGTACGTCTTCAAGCACAGGGGAGCCCAACTTCAAAACCCACACTTTCTCCCTCCCTGCACTGTATCTTCAGTGAGTCAGGAGTGGCTCCTCAAACTTGTTTAGGCTTCATAGAACAGGACACAGTCACTCGGCCCAACGCTCCCATGAGTAGAGTTGAAAACACCCCAAGTGTGGCTGCCCCCATGGTTCAGCCACAGGAGCAGCAGCAGCACTGGGCAGCCCAACAGGTATGCACATGTGCGAGAACTAGTCCACGAGGAAGCCCTGGGGTGACAAATCTCATCAGGTGTCACCTGGCAAAGGTTACCCTTAGCAGTAGCAAGCTCTGGAACTGTAGGGCTTACAAAGGTATTTGAGCCAAAATGGACCATAACTGACCATGAGAGAGTTGAAATCAAAAACAGCAGAAAAATGGGGCCCCTGGGTGGCTCAGTCAGTGAAGCTTCTCTTCTGCCTTCGGCTCAGGTAATGATCCCAGCATCCTGGGATGGAGCCCCATGTTAGAGTCCCTGCTCGGTGGAGAGCCTGCTTCTCCCTCTCCTTCCGCCTGCCATTGCCCCTGCTTGTGCTCTCACTCACTCTCTCTCTAGTAAATAAAATCTTTAAAAATAAATAAATAAAAGTGGTCATCCCTCCTGAAAAAAAAAATAAATAAACAAAACAGCAGGAGAACATACAAGAAAGCCAGGAGGAGCATGAGATGCCCGTAATCCTCAGACAGGGCCTTCCTCACCCACCAGGACCTGTTCTGAACCCAACCGTCTAAGTGAGGACGGTCAGAGACGAGGTTCCAAAGAGATAAGAATAGGCAGGAAGTCAGGAGTTAGGACACATTCACCTGACACCCGGGAGGTTGAGGGGCAAGTTCCCAACAGTCTCAGAGCCTGCAGAAGATGCTACATCGAGGCTAGTGAAGAGAAAGAGACATTTTCTTTCATGAATCAGAGGGAAACAGCTTACATGGCGTGTGATGAGTGAGAACGTTCTCTCTGGTGCATTTACACAAACATTTAATAAGCACCTACTATGCGCCAGACGTTGTTACGCACGATATCCTTCTGCTCCTGGCAACACCTCTGATCCAAGCTGACAGGGCTCCCCTGTCTTGTGGAGTTTTCCTCTACCAGGAAAAGCGGCACAGACCGCGAATACACAAACCCGAGACACATGATTAAGATTGTAGCTGAAAATAAGAGGTGTTTGCAAGGCGGTGGGAAGGCCTCTCAGAGGAGACGACACTGAAGCTGAGATGTGCCAGCGAGAGCAGCCTCCTGCGGAGCAGAGGGGAAGGTCCCGGCTCCAGAGGGCACAGCAGCTAGCGCCAAGGCTTGTGTGGCTTAGACACGGATGATCAAGGCAGAATCGCGTGGCCACCAGGTTACAGGGCGTCAGAGAGCTAGGAAAGGGCCAGAGTGCTCAGGGCTTTGTAGATAATAAACATTCAGCAATGGTTGCAGAGAAAAAGTCAAGAAAACTACTTACCGAGAAACTCGGTCATGTTTTGCTTTTAAAACTTAACGTAACTGTATTCTACCGAGCGACTTACACATGGGGTCGTCTCACGAGTCAGCAGGGTCTCTGTGAGGAGACGTGGACTCAGGACCGTCGGGGTCTGGGCCTCCTCTGTGGGCACTTGCTAACAGTGAGGCTGGGAATCTTGATTATGAGGTTACAAAGCCAGGAACCCTGAGTAGCTGTATCATTTGTGCCAGATGGATATGCTGGATTGCTGGAATGCCGGGCACTTTGGAGACACAGCTGGGCTGCGACCTCAGCTCTGCCAGGTAGTGTGTGACTCAAAGGAAGTTACCACATTTCCTGAGACTCTTTTTCCTCATCTGGAAAATGGGAATAATTCTACCTCCCAGGCAATGAGAAGACTAAATAAATGAGAGCGTATCTGCACGGTAGCCCTCCGTGAACGCCGGATGAATGAGTGAATGCATGAATATCGGAACCCGTGCATGAAGGAGAAGCTAAATACACATGTTCAGTCTCAGCAATGCCTGTTCTTCTCAGTCTGTAATGCTCCCTACCACCAGCAGAGAGCCCAGTGCCTCGGAGAGTGGAGGTGGGGTCCCGGGCAGAAGCCAACCTCCACACTCTGTCTCCTACTCAGCCTTTCTTCTCTTTTCCCTTCAACTGGCCCAGCTCTTTTGAATCACCACTATCCCCACTTACTCCCACCTCTCCCTGCCCCTAAACCACGAACCACTCAGCTTAGTTTGTGTATTCTGGTTTGTGTATTCCTTCCCTTACAGTGTGCCCTGGAGATGACCCCCGGCGGGTTGCCCGGGAGACGGTCCGAGTACCAGGTGCCACTGAGCAACTGTCTGTTGACCAACCACCCCAGTTTGTCCAGCACTTTCCCAATCTTAGCACTGAACATTCTGGGAAGCACCTCAGTCCCTGGGAAGCAGGATGGTTGGCCATCGTACCTACCCCCTTCCTCGAGGACACAACCCCTTCCTGTCTCCACAGCACTGCCCACGGGGGTGGGGGGGTGTAATACAGATGGCTGGGTCCTAAAGCTGGGCTCTGGGCATTATCTCTTCTCTGCCCACAGGATCAGACAAGCCCACACTCCGTCGGTCCTACTGAATGTCATGGTATCAGATCTGAGGTCCCCGGAAGGGTCAGTCTTCTGAATCAAATGATGGGCATCCTCCAGTCCATCCATCCACTACTGACAGAGCTATCGCTCTAAAATGCAAATCCGACACTGACAGTTCCCTGCTTAAAACCCTCCAATGGCTCCTGGTCGGCAGAATTAGGAGCTATCTCTGGTATAAATTCCTTTCACAATCTAGCAACAACTGATGGTGCTGTTTCTTGCTTTCCTCCTTTTGTGTCCACTCTCCCCTCTCTTGTTAATGCCTTCATCCTTTTTATACCTGGTCAACTCCCAGTCCTTCCTTAACGTTTCCCACAAATGTAATCCCTGTCTCTTTTGTGATTCTATGGGCCATATTTGGAATCGCATCACAGTATTTATCACACGGTGTAGCAATTATGTGCTTACATGCCTATTTTCCGACTGGACTCTGAGCTCCTTAAAGGTTAGTTTCAGACTTGCTCATCTCAAGAGCCCCGCACCAGACACTGACATTTTGCTGTAGCAGTTTTTAACATTCACTCCTATCTTGTGATTCTAAAAAGCAAACCATTACTGCCAGACTAGTCTTAATTACCAAGTATTTTGAATCCCTGAATATTATCCTATCCCTGACTTTCGTATATTTCCTCACAGAAAAAAATAAGACTCAAAACTGGGTTGGAAATTGGAGAGGGGTTAAGAAGAGCCACTGATCATTTTATTTTGTAATTGGAAAAAATAAAACCTGAGGGTTTACAGATTTTTTTTTTTATAGATTGCAACAAAACAGCTGGGTCAAAACACCCGATTTCAACTAGCATTGTCCATTGCACATAAAAACTCCATAGCTACAAATGAAAGAATGAAGGAATCATCAGAGAGTTCTATTCTTGGACATATGATCTCTTGTGTTTTTATATCCAAGCAAATATGTCCACCAGGTGTGAGTACAAAATGACAACACTCTTGCTTAATTTTGTTTGTATTAACAAATAGACCAGAATGCCATTGCTCAGAAATTTTCTAGAATTTCTCTTTGGGAACTGCCTTAAGAACCACCATGTTAGTCAACCAGTCATCTACTATTACCTCTCGGTCAAATCCTGTTTTTGAATTACCCAACACGAACCACCACTTATCCATAAGCCTTGGATCCTAAGGACATTCAGCTATTTTCAAAATTAAAAGCCATCCTCAAAGGATGAAAATTTTCCACAACTGAAGATATGCAAAAAGATGTAGCAAGCTCTCAAGTCAATTCCCAGAATGACAAAAATGTATCTTGAACAAGTAGTTGGAAATAGTGTACATGTATATTAGAATCATTCAACTTATTTTGGATACATTGTATCTACTTGAAGGCATACGTAACGGCAGGGGACATGCCAGTGAAATGTGCTTGGTTATACACATGTATGTACTTCTGGAGAAAAATGGTTCATCAAGCTTCTGTGTTTATAAATACGCCATTTCAGCTAAATGCAGTAAAATTAACAGAATCTACTATTTTTCTGTTTCTACACTAAGCACTGAATACAAGATTTGTGAAATATCATGTCTGCCCTCAAAGAGCTCACAGTCAGTGAAGAAAAACACAGACAAATCCTTGTACCACCATGAAAGAAGGATAACAGGGGGAGTTTATACCCCCTTTAGTGGTAGCACCTAGCAAGGAGTGATCATCTCTGGCTAGAACACTTCACAGAGGCAGCAGCACCTAATCAAAGTTTGGATAGATAAACACAAGCACCAGTTTCATCAGGCTTAATGAGATGGGCAATCCTGGTATAGGAAATAGTATGTGCAAAGACACTGAGGCATGAAACCAAACAGTGTGTTTGGGAAATTACAAGCCATTTAATACTGCTGGAGCACAGAACGCAAGGAGAAAGAAGCCGAGATACTCATTGGAGAGGCTGAAGATACCCATGTAACTGAAAATGTGCATTTTTGTTTGCAGATGATTCTGTGCGTCTACTGTCTTTCCGAAATACATCAATCACCCCATTGCCGAAGAAATAGTGGCACACAAATTTATTGCATGATTTTATATTTGCCTGAATTTATCACAAAAACTGTCCCCAGTCTCAGCTCGTATTTGTTCCGTCCCCGATGACATGCACCTTGCGCTCATTTCCCTCTGTGTCCCAGTCATCCTGCTCAGTTTCCCCTTGCATGCCTCCTCCCAGATCGATCTTCGTCCTCCTGCAGTCTCTCAGGTCAGCCTCCTCTCCAATGTCAAGCAATGCCTCTTCCCTCCTGCAGAACAAAGCTCAAATGACCTCTTCTATCTAACAAGTCTGCTGGCTAAACCCAGGCACCGAACATGTAGGCTCTGGGGTAAGATGGATCTGGATCTGAAACCTGGGTCTCTGTGCCCTTGGGCCAGTCTTTTGGCCTCTCCAAGCTTTTTCTCCACCTGAGGCTCAGACAGGATCACTCCCGGCTGTCCAGGAGGGGTAATGCATGCTGTGGAGAAAGCTCGGGAGTGCCAAAAGGAATACTAACGGGAAAGAACTTTGTGTAGCACCTGGCATATCATTGGTCTTTAACAGTTACTGTTAATCATAAATTCAAATTGTCTTGTGATTCTCATGCCTAAGTCACATATGGCAATTTCATGGGCAGGTACTGACCTTGACTCTTTTTGCTGTTGTGATATGCTGTGGGAGGCCGTGTTGCTGGACAAATTCAATGCCAACAACGTCCCTCTCCCCTCCCCCCACCCTGAGGTGAGGGGTGGGCAGAATTCGATGAGTCTGGGAAGGAAAGGAGGCTTTTCTTCCAGAGTGTTTCTGTCTATAGTTTGATTATTTCAACTTCACAAATACATTCATGTTTTCAAAGTGTCAATGAGGTTTCTGGGCAGGGAGATTTTGGCTTTTTCTTGGTTGGTGTATTTGCTTGGCTTCTATTTTGTACCACAATTCACTAAGCAAACAAATAAAAACCCTAAATTAATAATACACTCTAGGGAAGCTCAGTATTGTAGAAGTCATTCTAGTCAAATTTAGTTAGGTTTTTAGGAGAGGGTTGATCAGAAAGTATGTGTTGGCAGAAAGGGGAATGAGCACAGGCTTTCAGCTCAAGCAGACCTTAAATAGTAGATTCGGACCCACTATTGACAAATGACATAATCTCGTTAAGCCTTTGTTTCCTCATATTTGTAAGGCAGCTAATAATTCCAACCACCTTCAGGTACTTTCCAGCCCCTCAATGAGATGCTCTGCATGTAAAGTACCCAGTGCCAAATGTGGCAAACATTGGGCTCGGTACCCGTGATCATTTTTATTATATCTGTGTTGCTGTCCTAGTTGCTGGCTCATAGCAGGTTAGAATGAAGATGCTGGATCAAATCGACAATTAAATTGGGGTTGGTATGAGGATTAATAGTTAGAGTCTGTAATAGATTAGGGTTAGGATTGAAATTAGAATTCAATTAAGGTTAGAATTAAAATGCATACAGAGGTGATTATTAAGGATGGGGTTAATTAAAACTGGATAATGGAAGAAGGAAGCAGTATGAGGAGTACTGGTTTAGTTGGGTGGAAAATTAAAGAGGAAAGCAATGTGGAAACCCACGTAGAATTCACTGATAAAGGGAA